TTGTTCGCGGGGCGGGAGCGGGTAAACAGCCTACTATCTCACAGAGTAGCTCCAGCTCTGCACTTGACAGCAGCCGAATCCCATCTCCACATTCAGAACCAAGGAAAAAAAAAATTATAAAAAAGCTGTAGGTGACCATGTCAAATGTCATTTTTGCATTTTTTTTGGGGGGGGGGGGTTCAGCTCGCTGCACAGAAGCTTCAGTATGATTCAAGAAAGACAACATGTCGTCAGTTTCCTACACACTACCAAGGAGCTAGGCCAGTTTCGATGAAACATAAAGCCCCGAGTCTATGTCACACGACCGAGAAACGTGATTCAAGGAAATAAGAGCCCTCTGCGGCAAAGGATGTGACAACTGACGGAGCAGATGCAGCCAAGCAGGCTATGGATATTCAATATTGATTCAGTGCGTTCTTACAGCTTGAATGAACGGCGAATGCCTGCAGTTGTCACACGGTCGACGGCACCGGCCAACGTAGGCGGGCTTCATTTGCCTCGACTGAAGTGACGGGTTTACTGGAAGTAATAAACATGGAAGTGCAAACCCCACTGGACTGCACAAAGACAAACCATACTGTGCACAGGATAAGTCTTCACTTTTGACTGCTCTAAAGCCCTGTGAGTGTCCATCGAATGAGACTTGAACACAGACCGCAATGTGAATGTACGTTAAAATATATTGTTCTGACACCCGCTCCTCCCCCAACATCGCGCCTGCTCATGTGCTGTATAAGTCATTTGTATAGACAGAAGTGACTAAACTAAAGCTCTAACCCTTCCTGTACAGGAGGAAGCAGAAGTGGTCGCTTTGTTTCGTGCCACCGTTCATCCTTCATGATTTCCCACATGCAAGATGGTGCAAATTACATTGCGCCACCATATATGTTCGACCTGCTTCCTCAAAAGGAACGTAAAAAAAATGTTATCAAAAGGGCCAACATTAATGATTGGATGAAAATGACAAAATATTGGCCAGAGAAGTTCATTTCGGTTTGTTACCCATGTTATGCCAGACCTAATTAAACATCCATACATTATATATTATTATGTATTATCATTATTAAGATTTATGACCATGTTATTATTTTATTTTATACTCATTTTTAATACCATGGAGGGTGGGTGGACATACTTAGGGCAGCGAATGCCAACCAGCGTGTCACGGCATCAATGTGTGCCCTAAGAAATTGTCGGGTGTGCCTCGGCAAATTTTATTCATTTGATTAATTTTCATGATTTCAGTTCTCCAGGAAAGCTGTACCATATAGAGGGCCTGCCTTTTTCTTCTTGCTCTGCT